GTATAACGGTTAATAAAATATAAAATATGCAGATAATCATCTTCGATTACCTGCAGTTCATACACTCACACAATTGTTGCGATATGTAAAAATAGAACTTTTCCTTTTAGAACAACAGGGTATGACCCTATCGCATAAAAACGTCATGAGATAAAGCAGAAACAATTTATCACGCTTATCACTGGCGTCACAAAACAAAAAGTAACGATTTTTTTGTTGTTGGTGGAATAATATAATGTGAACTACGACACACAGTGCTTGCAAGGTGTTAAATATTGTAATTTAATTAAAATCACTAGTAAATATTCATTCAAATAGCATATGAAACCGCTTAAATGGTAATCTCAAAAGTCACGCACGGAGCACGATGTTCGTTTTTTAATAGCGAGTTAATAACCTGTGATCTAAAATCTCATTTAAAATGAAAAAGAAAAAATCGGCAACCATGTTTCTAAGATAATTGTAATCCTTACTTTAAAGGTACGTCATTTCACAAAATATATTTTAATTTAAAACCAGATGTGCAAGCGAATGTATCTAGAACCGAGGAAAGTAAAATGTAAACAATTTTGCATGTAATTTTTGTTTTAAAACGCAGCAGAAGCATAACGTTTAAAACTAACTACTTTTAAATGTTATTTTAAACTACTTTTAAAGGTAATTTTAAACTACTTTTAAAAGTAATGCACTAATTTGTTTGGCCACAAATTTTAATTATTCTGCTCCTGTTTACTCAGTTATTTGTTAAGATATTTTATTTCTGTAAAGCGCAATGGATTTTTTAATACAATTTATACTATTCTACCTTTTGAAAATTTAAAATTGATCCATAAATAACGAAAACCAGATAATCTCATATTCATCACAATTTTAACGCGTTGAATTTTTTATTTTGACAACAAAATTTAAAAAACGGAAAAACAGTCTAGGTAGGGTTTTTTACGCTCATTTCAACAGTACGCGGTGTGAAGTTTATTACAATCGGACGTATACTTTTAGCAAAAACTTGGGCAGAAGTTTATATGTATTTCCCTATGCTGGAATATGCTTTAGCTCACCCTTAAAATGATGAAGAGCTTATGTATATTATAGTTACCTGGTTTCTTAAAAAATTCTGTGCTAAACTCGTTGTAGATTTTAACTCCCTACTGGGTTAATCTAATCCAGCAGGTCAGGTAAACGATTCATAGAGAAAAACAAAACAATAATTTTGAGTATTTGGGTTAAAAGTGATTGTAAAATGACTGAATTACTCAAAAAAGTAATTCGTTACAATTGCTCATCACTTGAAAAGGAATTGAATTACAGTAATGAATTACTTGTAATTGAATTACTTCCAACCACTGATCGCAAGCATAGTAAATGGATAACAACTCACAATGAAACATATCACCTTGAATTTAAACACCTTTGAAGCTCATAATTCTTACCTCGATTTAGTTCAAAGAAATCTTAAGTCAAATCCTTCTAATTTATGGAACTATTTAAACCATCGACGTAGTTCTACAAGAATTCCTGGTCGAGTTCACAATGGTTTAACCGAATGCACTGATCCACAAAGCATAGTCAATGCTTTTGTAGAACATTTTTCGAAATCATACTCAAATGATTCTGTACACATTCCATCTCAATCTTCAAGTTACGCTTTACCATTTCAATTTCCTTACGTCAGCCCACTTGAACTTATTAATATAATGTCCAAATTTCATGATAAATTCACAGCAGGAGATGATCTAATCCCGAGTTTCATTATTCGGGATTGTAGATATGCATTTGTAGAACCATTGTCAATTATTTTCAACCTTGCCATTAAAACTTCAACCGTACCATCAAAGTGGAAATAATGTGTCAGGATCTGCCCAATTTTGAAGAAAGGTGATAGTTCAGATGTGTTAAATTGCAGACAGATTTCTATATTGCCACAATAATAATCACTATATTTAGCAATCTACAGTAATATGAAAAAATATATCTCTACCTATCAGCATGGCTTTGTTAGTGGTCGGTCTACAGTTAATAATTTAGCCGCTATCACGAAATATTTCAGTGAAATCATTGATATTCGAGGTCAAGCTGACGTAGTCTACACTGATTTCACTCGAGCTTTTGATTCAATTCAACGTAGTATTCTTTTCCCGTCAAAAGAGTTTCGCCTCTGGTATGGTTGACATACTGGGTTACCGTGCTCTTTTGCCTTATTCTTAACCCTGCTCCTGCAGATGCCACTTACGAAAGTGTGCCAAACCGTGAGCCCAAAAACTCAATTAACACGGTTCCAACCCGGAAAACGATATGTATAGTATTCTTTCGCAAAAACTCGATTTGTATGGATTGTCGAAGGACTCACTGCTGTTAATGCGTTCTTATTTAAAAGACAGGACATCTTACGTTGCTTATAATGGTTATGTGTCTTATAAATTATCAGTTAATTCCGGGGTTCCGCAAGGCTCTAATCTTGTTCCTCCTTTATTCATTCTGTTTATTAATGATCTACTTGAACAATTTAGTTGCTCAGGCCTTGCATACAGTTGTACAGTTAGATAGCATTTGCATTAAAGAAGAAGCAACAGCACTGAGAGTACGAACTGCAGGAAGATAAAAAGTGTTTTTATCCTGAGAATTTGTTCTGTTGATCTTAAAAGTTAAATTGAAGAGTATAACCGGACATTCATGTACACCTCTGAAAATTTTAGAAAGAAGTTTCAACGAGTGTTCAATACTTCTGTTCAGCAAGGAAGACATTTGAAATCTAGCAAACAGCAATTGCTGAGAAAAACTTCTGGGTGGATAAGCACCATCTAAAATATAAACCATCGTTTGTAAAAATCTTCTTTGAATTCTCTTAAGAGAAGTGGTACAACATGGTGTGTTTATGCCCCCAGTAAAAAAATAAGCACAGTATATTACCTCCATGGTACCAACTTATTATGTGAAATAGTGTTGGCAGTGTTTCGGAAAAAATTATTAAATCAAGAATAATTCTAGACTTACTGTTAACTATTCCAATGCTCTGAGTAAGTTGGAAAAAGTTTAAGAAAGCATTCAATATTTATTTAATATTTATTTTTAATATATTTTAAATTATTGTTTGGTGATGAATTCCATATGAACAGATCTCTAATTCTGGAATGTTACAATCTCCTATAATAATGCAGTTATGTGACAAATCATATGAAAGTTCATAATGAGCAAATACTGCTTCATACATTTTTGGAATCGTAGACGATGGGAAGTAAAGATTGATGACAATGATTTGAACTCCTCTGTTATTACTCCTCACCACTAATAGGTCTGTTTCATAATACGGCATTTCACTTTACACATCTGCAAGAAATCTGTGATGTGCTGCAATAGTACACCCCGTCCTTTTATTTCATTCAAAGACCTAAAAACTTCATAACTATCGCCAAAATATTCACTAGATTTAATAACACTCTTCTAGTCATGTTCTGGTAAGTAATACAAGATCGTAGCTATTTATATAAAAAAATGTTTAAATAAAATTCGTTTGTTTTAGTATTTAATCCACGGACATTTTGATAGGTTTCCTTAAATTCGTATAAATCTCCAGACCGTTGGACTAAACTTAGTTTTTTCCACTATTATTGCCTAAGCCAAATAAGATTAACATTTTTTTTTTTCAAATTTTGTTAATCTTCTTTGCCTAAGATAGTTTTAACAATTTTCGGCATATCGTTTATGCATTTTAATTTGATATCCACCTCTCCTCCTTCCTTCTTACTTCTAAATTTCTTTGTTATCATATGTGCTATATTTCTTTGCCGGTCCTGTAAGCTCTCTGTTTACGTAAATATTACTGTTTCGAGTTCGATATGATCTGAGAACCTTAAGAACATCATCTGAAGAGCTCAGTCTTACTTTGTTATTTGTTACTGTTACCATTGTTTTTTTTTTTCTACACGCTTGATTGTTGACTTTTCATTAATTCCTACAATTTTAACAACGTTACTTAGTAAGATCATTTTCTTTCTTGTCAACACGTTTGGATAAACTATAAATTCTTAGATTTTTACACGTTCCTGCATGATCCAATATCTTATAGTGGTCATTTCTTCATCCAGTTTTATAATGATGTAATAAAATATAATTATAGCTTATCAGAATTTGCACTGACTGCTGCGTTATCAACTGGTTTTTTAATAATCTTTTTTTATCTCGTTTTTTTCATTTTTCAATTGATTTGATATGATCTTATATGGATGAATGATTAATAATAATATTATAAGTATATACCTAGTTACAATAATGTGCGTTTTATGTTTCACGAAGTTGGAGGAAAGGAAAAACGAAATGTAGCGAGTAAAAAATAAGAATGTTAAATTACTATGTGAATTTCAAGTAACAATTTTTTGTGTCTGGAATGTTTTGAACCACACCACAAATAATTATAATTTTATAATTGAAATTGTCTCAAAGGCACTTTGCATTTATACTTAAATATTTTTTCTATTGATAGTTACTCATTTTTTTTTCATAACGCCATAATCTTCATCATATATATTTCGGAGGGCATTCTTTTAAATGGTAGCACAGTTTTATATCACGGTCGACACAGCTGTGATTAAAACTACAGATATTAGCTATATATATGTAATCAACGTGGCACTGGAAGAACTTTCCAGTATCGAACACGTAATAAGCCTAACATGGAGATTAACGTGTTAAAATTATACATTTATCCATGGATTTATCATATACTTAAGACTTTAAAACTGCTTAGCAGAAGCTAACTGAATTGTATTTTGAAGGAGAATGTCAAGAAGTATATTAACTAAATAAGTCTAATCTGCTGCCGCCTCCGAGCTGTACTCATAATGTTGAATATTTTATTTCATTTCAAGTCATAAGCTCCATCTACAGGACGATTTACATATTCACTACTTTAACATGTACAAATGTCTAGAAACTATTAATGTGGTGCTAATGTTAAATTAAGACTTGTAGAAACGTGTAAGGTTAACGAAAATAAATAAATTAAATACATACAAAGTACGATTTATTAAAAATCTTAACAAATTTATTTTCCCTTATTTAATTACAATATTTGAGCATTTACAAGGACATTTATAAACAACTTTACACAAATCCTGATGGCATACTGCACAGTCTAAAATGATGGATATCATTTACGAATATCCGTAAATGCTGTACAAACGTAGGCATATCCTATAAAATAAATAAAAATCAGGTATACCGTTACTAAGACACGAAAATTTTACCTTGTCATGATTCTGCATAAAATTCGTTAATAAGACCTCCCTTTGTTGATCTGTAATAGCGTCAATACCTCTTAAAAACCCAGGAAGGAATGTAGCGAAAAAATAATCAAAATTAACAGTAGCCATATTGTATATAGCAACTTGTATGTCTTCTGACAATAAGCTTTGAGATTTATCAATTAAAGTTTGTACCAGCACAGTCAAGTACTTAGATAGGCCATTATATCTAAATAAAACCTAAACAAAAATATTTTATTTTGAAGTATGACAATAAAGCCATACATACGTTGTGATATAACTTCCACTTTGCATTAAGATCTTCCAAAGAAGCTAAACTCAATTTAAATATATTGATATCTTGTTGTAGTAAAGCTTGTCCAAATACTTGCAACACAGCCATTAGTTGTATTGGTTCAGGGGCATCACCTTCTGTTTCACTGTACACTGGTGAATACCCCAACCTCACTTGGGAACTGTAAAAATATTGCCATCTATGAAGTAAAATGCTAAAAAAGAAAATTGTTCTTTGAAAACAATTACTACAACTACCATAGACATCATGTACCTATGTAGCAGAGTTAACAAAGCCATAAAAGCGTCTGTTTTCTCTGTACCGTGAGATAAAAGAAATGGATAAACATTATCCATACACAATTGCAAAATCCCGGCTAAAAAATTTTTGTAGCTCGAACCGGGAGCTTCTATTACAAGCTGAAATATTTGAAGAAGTTTATCAAGGAAATTCCCAGCTTCTTGTTCCCTGTACAACAAAATTAATACAACATCAACATTTACCACTCAACTTACTTGACTGCAACATCTAGAAAAACTTGTACAGCATTCTTTGTTCCGTCCACTCCTAGCTGTTGCTGTAGTACTCTTAATACATTCAAGAAAAAAATCAAAACGAAAGTACTTATTTCGGAATTTTTTGCATATGCCGGGAATAAAATTACAGCATGTTCTATTGTAGATTTAATGGCCAAAAATAATTTCTTTTTCGAGGCCATTGGTAAATCTTTGGAAAAGTCCACGATGTGCGATAGTGCAGGTAAAACCCCCTCGACTACTTGTCGCACCCGATTTTCATTATCGGAAGAAGAAAGATCTCTAAAGGTCCAAGTTAAGCCATCAAAGAAAACTCCAGTCAAATAATTTCGATGATTTGCACTATCAAGTGAACAGTCAGGCCATGGTTTTAACAACAAATTCGTAATGGCACTGTAAGTAACGAAAGTCGTTTGGTTATCCCTGAACTTTAAATTCGGTGCTACATTTATAAACTGTGCTACATCTGCTAATAACATTAGATTTGGTGCACAGGTTAGGTTTGATAGTGCCAATAATAAATGCGCTGCTGAATTGCTAACTTTCACAGGAACTGCACTATGAATCACGGGTAACGTTATGTCCACTATCAACTTCAAATTTTCAACTGCTACTTTATCGTTACGAGTTATCCAAATTAAGTACGTTTTTAAGGCAGCTAGCAGTTGACTGTGACTAAAAAAATGCAATTAACGATAATAGTAAAGAATAATTTAAATTCATACTTATCTATAAAACAATCTGTCAGTCTGGGATTATTCGTTTTTAAACTATAAAACCTGATGGAAGTTGCTAATGAGGCACTTTCCAGTAACTTTTCAATCAGATTGTTAACCATGGGAGTTGATACGTTAGTTACTTCTTCAGCTTCTTGATCAAAGAATATTGGTGACAGTCTAGCTAAAGTTTGTGTTAGAGATGAAAAATCAGTAATAATGTATGACAGTCTTTCACTCTCTGCTAATTCACAGTTTAAAGAACAATTCTGGTGGTCTACAATAGTTTCTATCCGTTGATAAATGTCATAACATGTTTTCCATGGAATTAACTAAAAAAAAAGTCATATCATTGAGAAAACAAAGATGACCACTCACTATAACGTTAAGTGTTTCAAGAGGAGCATATTCTGCTACCATTGAGATTATTTCTAGTGAGGTCTTTAAAAATATCTGCCACTCTGTTTCATTCTTAAAAAGAAAGAAAACGTAACATTTAATAAATTCGCCGTAAGTTACAATAAGTTATCCTTACATCGTCGTTCGTCTCTACATTATCGATTAGCCTCAATTGGTTACCATTAGACGAAAATTGGATTTTTTTTAAAAGCGCTGTCAATAAACCTAAAAATGCCTCCAAATATCTAAAACAAATTACGATTATAGACACAGTGCAATATTGCAATGGCGAAAAGGTTACTTCTGACTTTTTTGGGGCTTTGTCTGTTTAAAAAAAACAGCCCACACATTAAGACATCTTAAATAGCATTGCACTGAAGGCAATTGCACGGTAAGTTGATAAAGCAAAGATAAAAATTCCAAGGCGGAAAATCTGGGTTCCATTTCTAAACGCCATAAATGTTGTTCAACCAACAAAATCAATAATTCTGACAGTTTCTCAACAAAACTAAAAATTATATAATTAAAAAAAAACATATAATATACCATATAGAGCATCTACATAGGATCAAGCGTGTCGATTCGACTATTAGTAATGTCTCGCAATAATTCTATCGTGTAATAGTAAAGTTGTGTAAAAAACTCTTGACTTCCTGGAGGAGTGCACTTCCTATAGAGAAGTTCGTTGATTGTCGACATTGCTAGCACGCACATATCGTGATCGTCCTGAAAATGGTTATTCCATAATAAAAACAATGGTTATTGCAAATGTGATATAGTGCTTTACGAGGATTTAGGGGCCGAAAATGTCATTAAACCTACGCCACAAGTGTAACTTCTTCTAATGGCTTTATTACTCAATTATTTAATACTAGTTATTTAAAATATTGTCATTTCTGGATTTACAAAATATGTCAACATATATCTATATCACACCTACGCAAAATACATTTCTTAAAACGGTTACAGATCTTAAGGTGTTCTATCAACATTTACGGCTGGTTATGAGAGAGAGGACTTTGCTCCAATAATAGAACAGAAAAATTTTTAGGACTTGTTTAACAATAATCGATTGAATTTGCCGTTGAATTTTTTAGATGAAATATATCTAGAGAACTGCCGAGGAAAGGCTATTAAAGGAGTTTACTATAAATATTCAAAAGCACATTCCTATGTGTACATCAGTCCATTATCCATTTAGAAAAAAATGCACAGAACGTAGGTAATGGGTGAAATATTATTAACATCACGTTCATTTGTGCACAATTATAAAACCTGATTTAAAAAAATTAGTTAATACTAATTTATTTCATTCGTAATTTTTACATTGAATATATCTATTTTTCGGCAATGAGTATATCTGAAAATTTCCTTTTACAAAGTAACGCTCTTTTTAGTTTTACCTCAATAAAAAAAACTTATCAGCTAAGCAAGAAAAATTATCGCTGAACGTTGGTAAGCCGTAAAATTTGTAGGGCATCTTTAGTCGTGTGTTAATTTACTACTTATATTTTTAAGGCAATTACTAGTTTGAAAGAAAAAAATGTCACGTGCAGTAAATACACAGGGGACTAATACGTCTTATCAACCAGCACCAGGTAAGTTTATATAGATAGATTTCATGATAGTACATAGACAATCTCATTTGTAGGTTATCATGTTTTTAAACTTCGAGTTGCTGATCTTCCAGACAAGGATTTCATCGAAGTTGAAGTGTCAGGAGAAGAGATATCAACATATGATGACTTTTTACGATTTTGTTGTTTTCAATTCCATATTCCATCTATCAGTTACGTTGACAAAATCCGAAAACTACCATCTACAAGAGTGAGAGGTGATGCCGACATTAAGAGATTTCAAACATTTGAGAGTTTCGAACTCATTTTAGTTGATCCAGAAAAACTTGTAGGAAAACGTAGTTCTTTGTTTTAAAAGTGTGTGTACTATACATTTTTCTAATTGTTTGATTTGTTTTTGCAATAAATATTACCAAATTAAGGCATAAATACAAGTTAAAAGCATTTATATTAAAAGATTGACTCACCTGAGCATAGCTGGATATGTTGGTAAAATTAAAAATTGCTTTAATAATAGAAGGGGGTATTTGGTTAATTTGCACCCATGTAAATAGGTGTTGTACTGTTTCCAAAGCCTCTTTATTCAATACCTTACTATCAGGTTTAAACGTTGCTGTTGTAACCAACTGTTGAGGAAGACTTGGAGCACATGAAGGATGTGTGGGAGAAGGTGGAGGTGTTGCAGTTGCTGTATGTCTTGGTTTAGAGCCTATAAATACACAGTTTTGAAAGTTGAATAAAAGTGCGACAAACTGTACCTAAATTTTCAAGAATCATGTTTAAGGAATCAAAAACTATAGGAATGTACTCATGTAGCAGTCTTGTTACTTCGTCTTTTCTACCATTTTCAAAAGAAGTATGAAGGCCCATTAACTCCTCACTTGTGGTTCGCAACAATATTAGACCAATAAGTTGGTTTGGTTCAGTTTTCAATAACTAAAATGTAAACAATAAATTCTAGTCAACGCCAATTTAAGTATTTAACAACCTCTAGCAGGTTATTAAAAAAATTTGGATAATGAGATGGCCAGTCTTGCTTTGCTATCGCAACCAACAATTTTGCATATTTTCCTCGTACAAAATGTGGTGCGCTATTTCCTTTCTCAATCAAATAATTGTATAAGGTGTTTTTAAGTTCTTCACGAAAAGGCCAATCAGTATTTGCCCATTGTTGATTAATCACAGACTACAAAAACCTTAATAAATAGAAAGAACCAAAGATAAGACACATGTACCTCCAATGTTGATAAGGCAAACATAGTCACGTACTGACTAGACGTATTTGTAATAAAATACAAACACAACTTCCAAAATTGTGGCAAGTATTTAAATGAACTGAGTTGTTGTTCGATTTCATGTTTTCTTGAATTGCTGGTGCCTGGGTTAAAAAATTCATCCATCAAGTATTCCAGAGCAACTAAAGAGTCACTTTCGTTACGATCCTTAAAACATTTATTATTGAAATCATAAATAAATACGAAAATTTAAGAAAAATTTCTGTGAACTTTGAGGTTAGGTCCACTTAACCTGCTTTTGTCTCAACAAATAAACAAGTTTTTATGCAATACTAACCATTTTTAGAAGATACTGTTACAATAAATACGTGACATTGATCTACCCTTGTTATTTATTAGTAAACAGCCCTATCTAATAATGTTAAATTATGGACATTTTTGACGTTTCTGACGTCAACAGGGTTTTCGTGACCTTTGAATTGGTACTCCTGATTTTTAAGCCACTGGGCTAAAGTCCAATTCTCACTTCTTCGCACAAGTGTTTTTTTACGACGACCAAATCTGTAGTAAACAGAAGAGTCTAAATAAAATACAAAATCTAGTAATTAACTTAAACCTATGGGGTGATTATTTTATCTGTTCTATATAAATATGAATAGGCAACAGATTTTACTTTTCATAAACGACTTCGTCTTAAATTTTTTATAAATCACAAATAACGTGTAGATGCCAATGACTGTCTCAAAATTACGACAAATCACTTCCAACTTCTGCTAACAATGTTTTCGAATTCCAAAAAAAAAACGATATGCTTTTAACTTTGGGAAAGTGTGATAGAAATTCCTATGCTTGTCTATATGCCAGGCAATACAACCAAGCATTTAGAAAATTTGAAAAAAAGTTAAGAAAAGATGATCAATTTAATAAAACTAAAGTTAGGCCTGGTACAATAACAACGCCAGAAAATGAAGCTGCCCTGACTAATCGTAAAGGTACGTGTCCACTGGAGAGTGACTTGGCGAGAATTCGCGAGAGTTACTTTCAAGGGCTTGTCGATTTGAGAGGATATTTTGGCAAATTTTGTTCGCCGATAGATGTCGATCAGACAAAGCTCTCAAAACCCTGTCCACCACACAGTTGCACTTGCGAGGAAAATGGACCCTCTTTACTCGAACCGACAAAGAATTTATGATTTTACGAGCCTTTTGTTAATTTATTTTTCACGAAATACGGTAAAATATTGCAGCTGTGAAAACAGGTAGTAAGAGGACATAAATTATTATCTGGACCTAAAATTGTGCTAAGAAATACGCAAATGCACGATGCTATTTCTATTCATGAAAGAGTAATAGTAACATTACGATTTTTTTGTATCAGGTACATATGTAAAAGTATTATGTAAATCATTGAACAAAATAAGGTGTTCTCCATAGGTTATGTCACGTACATTTTGGGGTTTTTGGACCTTTCTTTTCTGTGTCACAGGTTGTCACATTCATATGATCCCACCCTCTATTATAATGTCATATAATTTTAATGTAGAGTTGATTTTGATTAAATCAACATTGCAATTATTACTCTTATTTAATATTATGTAAAATCTTCTTTCCACATATCTCTTAAAAATGTAAAAAATTGGTCGAAAGTTGTTTCGACAGAACTTCCCTCGCACCGAAAGAACTATGAAACATATCTAACATTTTCGAGTTGAGTTTTTTCTTTACACAATTTTGTGATGACGTCATCAACATTTTTGCAAGGTCACGTATATCAACTTGGATTGGTGCAGTATAATACTAAAAATAACAGTAGATGAATATGAATGCAGTGATAAATCACAATTAAAAACTCAACATATTTTGCACACTTTGGATAGAATTTATTCTGAAAAATTTTGAGATGACCTCATCAAGTTTTTGTTGGGAATAAACATATATGTTTCGATTAACAATTTACCACGCTTACAATAACCTTAAAACGTCTGGAAGATTTCAAAGTACCTATTCAGTTTTGCAATTCTTGTGTTATTCAGGAAACTAAAATCACGCATTCATTTTTTTTTGAGTCGCCCTGTATAAGCAAATCTAAAAAATATGAACACAATAATAAATTACAAGTATTATACTGATCATATATATTTTGCATATTTCGGGTGGAAATTATTCGGCAAAATTTTGAACTGACGTTATCAATTTTTTGGAGGGGATAAGCAAATATATTTTGATTAAAAGTTTATTATGCTTATCATAAGTTTAAAACAGCTGTAAGAATCAAAATTAAATTGTAAAATGTTGTTTTATGTTTTCTTTTCCAAAAATCTGGAATCGACCCAGTACTTTTGGAGATTATCTGTCTAATAAAAATCGGGACGGCAGACAGACGGACAGACAGACAGACGGAAACTAGAGACTTATTTTTTCGTACTCTAGGGATCATGAAAAGTCGAGAAAACGTAAAAGTAGAGAATGGGCTGACGGAAATAACGATGTTTGAAAATTGTTAATATTTTAGTTTTGTTTTTATAAACACTCAGCATATTAGAAATTAATTTAATTGATACCATAGCAAAGCACGTACTTTTGTTTACCTCCCCATAAAATATTATAACACAGATCTTAAAATTAATACGATTGCGATTTTTTTGTGAACCGCTTCATTACAAAAATTTTTAGAAAATTAGAATTAGGCATTCTATTTAAAAAAGTACGTTGAATATTACGCCTCAAAAACAGAACACTCTGTATAGTTGAAAATAATTTTAGTGTATGCTACGCGATTTCTATAGTCCTTTTTTTCCATATCGTGCAATTAGTTCTGCAGTTTGGTCTTTTGACCATCCAAATTTGGCCATGGCAAAGCTCACCACTCGCGGACAGAACTGTAGGAATTCGAAACGTGTTCGTATTGTGAAAGTACCTCCAGAGAGGCACAGCTTTGGTTTCCAACTGGAGCCCAAGTTCTAGCAAATTTGCTACCCTGTCCACTGCTCGGCTGCACTAGCGAAAGAAACGAGCGATTTGTACTCGACCGACAAATAATTTATGATTTTATGAGCTTTTTGTTAATCCTCTTTCAAGAAATTCAACTGAAATGTAAATGCTGGGAAAACAGGTAGCAAAAAGGGTATAGGTTAATTGTCTCCCGGGTTAGACTGGTAAGAGCGCTTAATACGACCGGCACCTGAAGATTATCATCCCGGCAGGTTATGATTCATCAAAGGACAATTACATGCAATGTTGTAGTGTGTCTATAAAATTATTGTCCCTAATAATTATATTTTCAGGCGAGGCAGGTATCAATTTATAAAAGCACTTGTGGAGAAACACCGAAAATAAATATAAATATTAATTTTTGAATACTCATGCTACTTAACAACACACTTGTAGTACCTAATATGTAAATTATTATTAAAAATTCATTTAAAAACGTTATTTGAATAATAAAAAATGAATTTACTTCGTTGTGCATAGTTTAATCTCGTACTACAACAAAATAATAATAATAATAATGAAGTATAATCAGAATCACTTATACAAACTATGATGTTTAATTATAAATTAAAAAAGTTAATCTAGTCTACTTTTCACATTACTTGCTTCAGATTTACGACAAATGAACATAATTTAGTCATTTATTTTCGTTTTACATTTTTTTTAGTATTTAATAATTTCATAAAAATGTGTTACCTATCTCAAAACGCTGTATAAATGTTGAAGTCAGGTAAACGATCAGATTTGGCCGAATTGCGTAGTCCTTTTCACGACTGTTTGCATAGAATCATAAACGTGTAAAATAAGTCGGCTTTACTCGAGAAATAATTTATGATGAACTGCTTACTCTCGGGGAATACTTCCCCAATTCGAAGCTTCTTCACACGGACAGTATCTCTCGCAAGTAAACGCAGTTTGGCTTGTCCACTGGAGAGAATATCGTTCGCGGCGAGATCAGCCGATCAGTGTTTCGTCTTTACTCGACTGGACTCGGAGCTCTCCAGGGCTGATTTTGAGGCGACTTCTCGCAAGTGGACACTTACCTTAAGATTAATGCAGTCGTCACCTGAGAACTGGTTTGCCGCATATCCAGATCGCGTCCGAGGGATTTTCGCCTCTACTGTTTGGTGCAGATTTGCCGCATGTCGCACTTGGGCGAAGCGAAACATAGTTTAGATTCAGTGCTGATTTGCCCCATGTCCAAGCAGAAATCGATACAGTACCGTTATCCGTTTTTACATAGTTCCTTGCTGTTTTGCTTTTCAGCGTTAGGTTTGGGGTTGGGAAAGAAATCATATGCAACTTCACGCGCAGAACAATAAGAATAATGTGAAATAAATAAAAAAGAGACTTAACAATTTCGATGAATCTGAAATTAAAAAAAAGCAACTGTAATTTGTGCAACCCTTTTTTTTTGTTATAGATGTTACAAATACTTTCGATTTTTTTTTAAGAAAGATTGAGTTTCAAATTATTAGATTCGAAATTTTACAAATTTAAATTTCAAATAGATTTGTTGCTCGTTGAGCAAATAATTTAATTTTTTACTTAACAGTAACATTTTTATTTAATGATTTCTCGGAAATGATTGAACTTATTTTCTCTAAAATTTTAGTGAACAAAATTCATAATGCTGCATACCTGTATTCTTATTACAATAATTACAGATAATAATAGATACATTTTTAAAAGATAATTAAGATTAAGATTTCTTAATCAACTTCACGCGCAGAACAAGTACCTAATACGGCAAGGACTAATAATGTGAAATAAAGGAAAAATTGAAACGATATTAGAAATCGCGTGGTGAAGTAGTTAACTAAGTATAACGAACAATGAATGTTAAGTTATTGATGTTTTGATTCGATTTTTTCTAAATATTTTTAAAATAAAGAGACTTATTTTTCTTTATTTTTATATAAAATCTACATTTGATAAAACCCATTGCAGTCATTCATTTTACCTAAAAATTGTAGAATCCAAATATTGCATTGTTAATTTCCGTTGTTAATTGGTGAATTGTGAACGAAATACGGAGTACCAAATTTAAATGTGTTTTACAGAAAGGAATTATTTTTATAAAGGATAATAAAATGATATTTTCTTTGCATTGACGGAGTAATGGCGGCTCGTTGACTCGCTGCAATCCTACTAAAATTGCAGCTTTATATGTAATTTTTTTATATAAAATATTCAAACTGATAAAGAACACTCGGGTAAAAATAGGTTGTTGTCTCAAACAATTAAATTCCAGTATTTTATTACATTACGTGGATATTGACTACAAGTAGCTATTGTCGGGCAACCAGAGAAAATTAGCAGTGATACTGTTTAAAACTGTAAATGCAGTATATTTGGATTTGGAAATAAATTATTCGTTTCCATGTCTTATGTATCGGTGACAATTATGTTGACTGCAACCCAAATCTATTTGATTACCCCTAACTCCATAATATCAAGTACTTAATAATC